TTGAATTGCGAGATGACTGTCAAATAATTGCGGCTGGGTTGCGGACAAGACATGGAAAATCATGGAAAGTAATAATGGACCTTTATTAACTGCGGTAATTTGGAAAAGCCAGAGAAGTCCTATTTGGTTAAGAAAAATTTGCTGGAACAATATAAACACTTAAGTATTATGCTATGCCAGCTAATTTTTTTGACATTTTGCTGCAACTATCTTACAGTCAGTGCATGGGGCTCAGAGCCCGAGCCCCAGCCACCCAGGGCTGACAGCACAAGCCCCACCCACTATCAGCTCGGATAAATGGCTTCTACTGTTAAATTAATGAGGAAAGAAGCGTGTGTTGTAAACCTAAAAAGATATGCAACATTGTGGACTACGCAAAGTGAGCTAATTAAAATAAAATTGCAGTGGAAACCTAATATTACGGGATCCACAATTTCCACAATATCGTAAATTAAGTAGGGCCTTACTTATGATTGTTTTGTTACTGAAAATAAGGTACATACTCTCACTGTGGTCACGGTGGAATTTGATGCCCTATCAGCTGCATCGACTGCAACTTGTAAAGAGGTTGTGGCCACTAGTTTGCCCTCATCAATAAGGGCTTGAAACTGAGCCCTGTCCTTCTGAAGCAACGTGTTCCTGACATCCAGGAACTTAAAAGAGTAATTCAAGAAATCGTATTTGGCGTGAAGGGCCTGAGAGTCTGAGATTTGATACTGCAGGGATGGTATATGTAAACACCTTCCACCCCTTAAGGTCAAGATGCCTGGCCTCCCCATCTGCAGGGGCAGCCCTCGGGTGCTGTTGCCAGGATCATTCAGTGGCTGCCTGCTTCCTTAGCTGCAACTAAGTATTGCTTCTCTGTCTTCTTGGGGATGGGGACACAGTCCTTAGCCAGGATCCAAACGCAGAGCCCAAAGCACTAGGTTTTGGCCCCTCATACTGTTGTCTGGAAACGCCGTGTTGGTTTCTCCCCTACTTGTGATTTTTACAATGTAAATGGATCTTCCCGCACTCCTTGATGCCAACGTATAGTCCAAAGTTTTTGGCTAGACCTGGCTTGAGATGTCAGCCTCTTTTCTTTGTCTGGAAAAACTGTTTATCAACTTCCCCTGACATGTCTGATTTAAACACATTCTAGTCACATATGACCAGCACATCTGTATAATTCTTTGTAGGTTAACCATACATTCATCATGCAACCAGGGCCATCCCTAAGGGGTTGCGGGCCCGGGGCAGAAGTGATGGATTCGTCTCTTCCGGGACTGGTCGTGCCAGCCAATCGCACTGGCCCGTGTGGCCCCACAAAGCGCAGGGCCTGGAACAGTCTTCCCGATTCACCCTACCCAAGGGAAGGCTCTGTATGCAACAATATATACCAGTGAGTTATAGTTTTCCAGTGCTCTATTGTGTGCCATCTTTTGGATTAATATCATGATGACAACAGTGTGAGAGACGCACAGAGCTGGCCAGGCCAGGCCATGACTCACTGCTACATAGCCGGGGGCTCATGCCATCTGGCCCTGCAGTGCTCTTAGAGTCACAGCAACACAGCCCCTGCTGGTTCTCATATAGCTTCATTTACTGAAAGTGCAGCCTGACGGGAGCCCCAAGGCTGCAGGATATCCAGGAGTTTATGCTGAGGGTCCTGGATTTCCTCTAAAGAGATTTGGAGCTCTTCCGCCACTCTCTGTAGGAGCTTTTGAAACTGTCTATGATTATCCAGGGGAAAAGAAGAGGCTGGCGCAACCACCTCATCTAGCAACAATGATGGAACCCGTCTCAGAACCAGTATTACCAGTGGATCCAGCTCATCTTCCCCTTCTTCCATGGGCTCAGGGGATTCAGACTGTCCCCTTGGAGCAGAAGGGTAGTAAGATTTCCTGTAGGAACAGATGGATTCTAGGTAATGTGTGTAAAGATGCCATGGGCACCAATAAGGTCGGTATGAGGAGTCGAAGGTAAGTTGTGATGGGACCACCTGTCCAGATTAGTAAGTTCCTGTCTCTGTGGTTGAGGGTGGTTCCAGGAAAGTCTTAATCCCGTCTGGGCTGAATTCACTGAGTGGAGGAGAAGTTGGTTCCACTGGTACATCTGTCTCTCCCAAAGATGTAAAGGTCAGATCCTGGTTCCTCAGTGGTGCTGACAGATCCATGGAGAGGAAACCGCTGCTAGTGCACAGCACAAGGGGACAGACTTCTCCCAGAGTCCTGCACTTCCACAGGCATTTGTATCTCCCTGGTGTGGACTGCTCCCAATAACAAGGGAGATTGTGGGACCCGGAGGACGAAGGTATCATCTGGAAAGGTTGTGTCTTGTCACTTCACATACCACTAGAGTAGGTATAGACAGAGGCCCCTTGCAGGAACGTGATGGTACCACCAGTGAATGAGTCACCAACATCGCAGTTTTCAGTGGTACCGATGGTTCCCAGTCCTTCAGGTCCCAGTGTTTTATTTAGGTGGTACAGCAACTGGTGTCGAGGTAGATGCAGAGACCATTACCGAAGGAGACTTGCTCCCTGGAATCTTTTGAACACAATCATGCGGCTTAGGAGTGCCTAAGTCCTTATGGCTTGGGTGTGAGAGCTCACCCCACTTAGATGGGGCTGTGGAGGAATCTCTCCTCCTACAGGAGGGAGTCTGTGAGAGTGCCCCTTCTTCTAATGAGATGGCCCAGCCAAAAGTTCCTTCCCTCTGCACTCCTATCCTTGCCAACTCTGGCCAATGCACAGGGGATCTCCCGGGCTTGGGTCGACTGGAACCTTGTTGCATGCTCCACTTTTGAAACCAAAGCTCTCATGTTTGCGGTGTTCTGGTGGGGGAAAGCAGCACATGCTGCACTTAGTGGCGATACGAGTTTCTCTGAGGCAGTAGAGGCAGAGCTGGTGGCCATCCAGGCCAAAAAGGAGCAGGGGCAGGAGATGAAGTTTTTGAAGCTCAGTAGCCAGGGCATAATCCCAGGATCAATCCCTTGCTGGGAAGCCAGGAGGGTTCCTGGGGTGGGAATTCTAACACACACTAATGTAGGGATTACCAAAACACTAACAACAACAAAACTAAGACCAATACAGAATTTGAATATTTACAGGACGAAGAGAAAGGAGAAGCTCCAGACACTGGAGGATTTTGACTTAGGCCAGGAGGGGGTAAAAAGGAACTGGAGAGGCGGAGGGTCCACCCCTCTTTTATGTGACGAACACATGGAGAGCAGGGGCATGGGCACGGACCAATGGAACTACTTGCAAGAAATCTCTGGCACATGGAGTGCATGCATGCCCACAGTGAAATACACATATCCAGCACTCGAAGAGGGAGGCCCTAATCCCAACTGAAGCCTTTGGGGGCTTCAGATATAATATTATATATGTGTGGCTTTGTTTACATTGTAAGTTTTTTGGGGCAGGGAGCATCTTTTTATTTTGTACTTGTACAGCACCTAGCACAGTAGGGTCTTGGTCCATGGCTAGGGCTCTTAGGTGGCACGACAATACAAATAATAAAAAATACACAAATGAATAAATAACAATAAATCATTCCGATGGGGAAAAAATAGGCAACTGGTCATGAGTGGTATCTTGGGGTCTAAATGGGTGATTCTCTGTCACTTGCACAGAGTTGAATCAATCAAATGAAATAGAGCAGGGTGAGCTTGGCGTTCCTTTTCTTTCTTGCTCTCTTATTGAGCTGTCTTCAGCCATGAGGTCAGGTGGGCAAAGTTAACCCACAGACACAGGAGTCTACATGAGTTCATAATGCGCCAGTCTTTCATTTGTCTCCTTTTCACAAGCACCAAACTCAGACACAGTGTTTATCAATAGCCAGATACAACATAAATTTATAGGGACAGTATAACTATGGCCACATTACATCATGTGTGTATTTTGATAAGTCAGGGTATTTTCTGAAGACAACTTACAGTTTAAACATCATCAGAAGTCTATGGAGTCCAATAACATTTATAATTCTCTCAAAAAATATTTCCTGCTTGGAAGGATGATATGCAATTTCTTATAGATCACTAGATTCATTCCATACCTTGACAGAGTTCTGAGAGATGCTATACACTTCAACACATTAAGATGGAGCCATTCCTTAACGTTTGGAGTATTACAGCTGAATCTGGCTCTTAGTAACTGCTATATGTATGCTCTTTACAAACTGTATGAAACCAATTCGTGTATTTTTGCCTGGATAACAAGCATCTGTCAACACTTATGCTGAAGAATGGCATAAGCTATCTAGGTGATCTATTTGTTTGTCTTGCTATTTTGTCGGCTTTTGTTTTAATTTATCTTTATTATATAATGTTATGAAAATAGCGAGAAAGCTTTTGAGTACCCCCACCACATAGTGTTTACTTGATTTTGTGAATATTTCTGGGCTGGATTCTAAATCTGCCAGGCAAGCGGCACTGTTCAGAACAAAAATTGCTGCTGTTGTAGTCCCTGAAATGTACATTCTACATTTGATCATTGCTCTTGGACCAATCACCGCTAATTTGACTCACACAGGCAGTCCCATTAAAGTCAAAAGCACTCTCACAAATAGTAAGGCAGGATTTGACCCACTTCAGCATATGAAACAGGCTAAGCCAAATGAAATGGATTTCTCTAGAGTGCTCATCAGCTGACGGACTAGCCCTGGTTACCTCAGAAGCGTGTCCTTCCACCCACTTCTTCAAAAATAAGCAATAGGGGAGATTTGTCTGAAATTTCGATGGCTCCCCTCATTAGTGGCTCAGTTAGTGTATATAGAGAGATGCAGTATAGCTATATAAGATTTCCCCCTCCAAATGATTAATTTCCTATTACCTTCTTATATTGCATGTTAAGTAACATTAGTCACCCTGATTGCTATGAAATAAATAGATATTAGTATGTGGGGATTAAGGAGTCATGTGCTGTACAAAAGCAGTGACTAACTGCAGACTCAGTTACCAGTCTTTGACAGACAGCACACAGAGAGGAAGAAATGCCATCACAGAAAGAGTTGACGTACCGTCAAACAGCCCATCAGACTCTGCTCAAAAGGTCTCTGGAAAGCTCTCGGGTCTCCACACCAGTCCAGGAGCTCTGTAGCTGCATTATGGAAGTTTGCAGGATTCTGTAAGTGCTGAAAAGGGGGGAAGATTAAACAACATGGTAAATAAATAATGTTAACTGCTAGATGCATTCTCTTCAGCACACTATTTCAAAGCCAAAAAACCCAGGAAATGGTAAGAGATCCAGTCACATGAGTGGATGAATAGAGCAGACCAACTTAATTCATTCTCTATTATCTGTATATTGCTCCTAATTTAATTTTATTGCGTAGAGGTAATGATGCAACTGAAAGTCCAGATCCAGTTCCCCAAAACTTGATGAATTGTGCCCAGAGATGTAATGAGTTGAACTAGGACACCAAGGCTCACCAACCCCAACGCTGGGCAGACTTGAATCTCATTCTGCATTTCAACTCTTTTCCTCAGGCCCAACGCCAACTCCTGGAAAGGTGGACTCAGAGCCAGCAATGCTTTTAGAATAGCTAGATTTCAGTATTTCCCCGCTTACTGAATTTGGCCCGAGTGCCTTACTATGGACATTGCTGATACTTATTAAGCAGTTTGACAACTGTAGCTAGCCTGTGGTTGCAACAAATATTGAGACATTTACAGCGCTATAGCTCAGGATAACAGCACATGGAGGAAAACATTGACACCAAGGTATGGCTTTGACATTGCTACAACTGAAAATACAAAAGCGCGTAGAGTGTTGAGAAATATCCAGAGGAAATCTCACAACCCCTGCAGGGGCAGAATTTCATTAGCCGGCATGACTTGGAGAAAGAAACCCATTTAACTGCTGCTCTCTCACCCTCCCCTGCACTGGCCAAATTACAGTCCTGTTTTGGGAGACACTTAGTAGTATTATTTACTTGAACTGAATTCCACCCCATGCTAAAAATTTGTAAAACTTTGAAGTACTTGAAAACCAAAATGCTCCAAATTTTTAGCGTGGGGGTAGAATTCATACTTCAAAGTACTTGAAAACCAAAATGCTCCAAATTTTTAGCGTGGGGTGGAACTCAATGTACAGCAAGACATTAGCCATTACATCCCCTGAGAAGAGAGCATTATTTGTCTGGATTTTGAAAACAACTGACATTTACATATATCCATATCCCTATCTGGATTTGTATAAGGTCACCATCAACATGATGCCTGTGTGCCTACTTACTGGTACAATGTTCACATCCAGGATGAGGATACATTATGGGCACAAGAGAGCCACATGGTACAAGTCTTTGCTTGTCGAGCCTTCATTTGTGAGGTCTTTGGGGAAAGGCCATTTTTTATTTGGTGTAAAGCACCTAGCACAGATCAGGCACGATAAGAATTTTTGTTATTTCTGTTAATAATAAACTAATAAATACTATTATTAAAACAACAATAGAATTAAAAGAAGAATAAAATAAGAATTCCTTACGAATGGAGACAATCAGTTCCATAGCATATGAGGTGTATAAAGGGTTTCCACTAGCCTGTGGTGAAATGGCCTCGAGCTAACAAGCCAATGCTTTCTAGCTGTGGCTGTAAGGCTCATATCCTCTACAGATTGGGCATAGAGAAGGCCCTGTAACATACACTCACCAGCAAATTACGTACTTTCTCTGATCAAAGGAAGCTCAACCCGACCTCTGAGACTCATAGTCATCTGAATCCCAGATAAGCCCCTATTTATGATTGCCATCTTCCTATACTTTCCCCTTTTTATGTATTCATTTATCTAAGAGTTGGAGGACATATTCTATGTCCAGGAGAACAGCACCTGGTTATACCAAAGTTCTGTATATTATATCTGTCCTTCATACCTTGCAATGGAAAATGCAAAACAAAAAACCCCCAAACCAAACCTCATTATTGAAGGACTACACACTATATGCACCAGGAAATTGTCAGCAATTCCTAGAATTGCCATTTTAAGGAGATCGGACTGGCCCATACAGTTCATCAAAAGGGTGACCCATTAGCGTCCTCTCTGGCATATCCAAATATCCAACATTGAGAGTTAACCAAATTTTTTCAAGCCCTTTGGCTTTTTGCTTCACAGATTTTGCATAAAAAGGACTTCTGTCAATGTAAAACTTGAAGAACTCTCCAGCTCAACAGAGCCAGCAGTTTTGACAAAAACGAGGTGGTCAGTGATGACCCAAAACTACTTTACTCAGTTTATACAGGTTCCAATAAGACTTCACAGGAATTAAAAAAATACTGATATTAACTCTAAAGATTCACTTATTTCCTTTCCCATGTGTATCATCATAATCTCTTGTAAGTATCTTCCTAAACAGGCTACATACACAGTGATGCCAGCTCTCGCAACAGGTGTGATGTTCCACTTAAAGACCAAACTTCAAAAGACAAGAACTCACATGGGAAACTCAGCTTGATTTTTAAAAAGTAAGGTCCAAGCCTTTGTGGTTGCAGAGAAAAGTCTGAAAATGTGCACCCAGAAGACTCAAAACCCAGAAGGCAAATAAAAGGAAACCAATCATAAAAGGAATTTATAAATAATAAAAGGAATTTACTAAATTCTCGTTATTTTTAAGCCAATCTGATGATTTTTGGGGGGTTGTTTGACTCATGATTTTTGAATATTTGAAGTTGGCACTGCTATAAACATATGTCCTACATACAAAATCTATTCACATTAAAGGCTATTCAGTTCTCTCCCCCTCTTATTCTCATGCCAGATAAACCAAATAAATTAGCTCCAAGACAGCGGAGTGAAAACAAGTATCCTCCCACACCAGGGTGTGACAAGCTCTTATGTCTGTGACCTTTTGGATCCTGTTACACTAATCCTTCTTCTATGGAGGATCTTTGTCAAAAGCCCTTACATTGACAAGAGATGACTGGTATGTGGGACAGCAAGTTTTAAAACAATGGAAGAATTAAAAAAAACAAACAGACATTATGCAACATGGTATCTTCCTACTAAACAACATGGAGCCAAATTTATACCAACTGCGTGACTTCCTCTGGATTGTATTTTCAAAGCAACATTTCCATGCCAGCTCAATGAGAGGAGTCAAAGCTCTTTGTATACTTATGAATATTAGCATATCCAGCTAAACAAAGAAAAGAGTGATCTTTTATGTCTGTTATAAAAACCAACTGGCCAAGTAGTTTAGGTTATTTGTCCTGACTGTAGCAAGCAGAAAGGTGAGAGATTGGGAGCCTTCAAAGCTGCAAATATCTGTTGCAAAAACTCTTAGTATCTACTGTCATTTCAATCCTCCATTCTCATTCAGCAGAAAAACGCAAAAAACAGCTCAAAACCCCTTTAAAGCATCATACTCCAAGGACAACTTCTCCTGCGATAATGCGTCTGCAAAAATTGCAGAGAAAGAAAAATGTGAGCATAACTGGAGCACAAATCATACTGTGATAATCACATGCTGCAGGGCACCAAAAAGATTGCATGTTGCAACCTCAATAACACAAAACCAACATTAAATATAATAGAGAGGAAATGTGGTGTGGACGTGTTGTTGGGCATTGTAGGTTTCGCCACCAAGACTAAGGCCTGGTCTACACTCGGGGGGGGGGGGGGAGGTGGGAGGGGCACAGAGCTAAGTCGGTCTAAATTATGCAACTTCAGCTACGAAAATAGCGTAGCTGAAGGCAACATACTTAGAGCTACATACAGCACTGTCTTCACTGCGGTAAGTCAACTGCTGATGCTCCCCCGTTGACTCCGCCTATGCTTCTCGCTCCGGTGGCGTACCGGAGTCGATGGGAGAGTGCTCAGCGATCAGTTTATCATGTCTTCACTAGACTCAATAAATCGACCCACACTGGATCGATCGCTCCGGAGGTAAGTGTAGACATACCCTAATATATATTTTTAACCATACATGGTTTTGTAAGTGATATTTCCATTGGACACATCCTGCACTGAGAGAAAAGAACTCACCAATCCTGAACACAAAGCACAGAAGAACATGGCTATTTTTTGTTTGCGGTTTGAGATCATTGGGCACAAAATGCATTTCAGTATCACTTCACCAGCTCCATCTACAGTGACCACACACTCAGAATATGGAAAAAAAATAATTATTTTTGTTTTACTGATCGTCAGGTAAGTCTTGTGGCTCAACTTTTGAGTGCTGAACTTGAGATATCTTAAAGGGGCCTGATTTGCAGAAGTGCTGAGCACCTTCCCTCTGAAAAATCAGGCCTCCTTAAGAAGTCAAGTTGGACACCCAAAAATGGAGGCACTCAATCATTTACCATTTTTGGAGATTTAGGCCACCATTAAAGAGGCCTTAAACATGGGTTCAGTTTTCACTTCACTGTATCATACCCTAACACCTATTTAATGTGAGGCTATCAAAAATCAATATGCTTTTACAGGAGTAAAGGACAGAAATAAGTTTGTTTCATTTTTAAACTTCACTCTAGAGATACATACTCATCTCAGTGGAATATGTCACAGCAGAAGCTACCTCAAAGTGAAGCTACTAATGCAATGTCGATAGTGACTTGGACTTCAATTAATTATGCGTTATGCAACTCTCACTCAAGTCTCCATCTTATCAACCCATTGCACTTAGGCTTTCTTTTTTTTTTTTTTTTTTTTGCGTGGTCAAGCACAGTAGGGACCTATCATAAATTAACCACTAAAAAACAATCTACAAGTCTCTACAAAAAACAATTTTATATACACACACAGCATGCTGAAAACTTGACATCCTACACAGCAACTGTGCTACTGAAAATTAATTTATAGGTTAGTTATGCAAGATGAATAACTCCCCGCCTTTGTCAATTCTGTCAAAGACAAAAGTCCCAACTAATCTAAAGGAAGAAAAGAATTTGCCAAAACATTAATGGGTTAGATCTCCATCCTCTTTCTAATTTTCTCAGAAATAATTTTTAAAATAATGGGGGGGGGGTTTCCCTGAAATTTCTCAGGATTACAGAGACCAAAGATGTTTTCTGTGGGTGGGAATGGGGAGCTGAAAGGAAACCACGCATGAACCAAAATGTAAATATGAAGAAGAGACTACATCCTAGGAAATGTTGCCTTATGCAAGAAAACATTAAAAACTACTACTACGAACAAACT